TGTGTACGTGTCGATCCCAAACTCCCAATCTATCCCTTCCTCCGACCCTTCCACCCCTGGTAACCATAAGTTCGCTCTCTAAGTCTGTGAGTCTGTTTCTGTTCTCTAAATAAGTTCACTTGTATCATCTCTTTTTAGATTCTGCATGTAAGCAATATACGATAGTTTTCTTTCTCTGTGTGACTTACTTTACTCAATATGACAATCTCCAGGTCCATCCATGTGGCTGCAAAGGGCATTATTTCATTCTTTTTCATGGCTGAGTAATGTTCCATTGTATATATGTACCACATCTTCTTTATCCATTCCTCTGTCGATGGGCATTTAGGCTGCTTCCATGTCTTGGCCGCACACTGTTAAAGATAATGGTGAACCCTAAGACTTGGGAGAGACCGACAGTCTCCCTGTGGGTGTCTGAAGCCTGACGTAGCCCTCACCTTGCTGCATGCTGCCTCTCCATCTCTCAGGGGTTGCACAGGGTTTGGTGATGTACCCCAGAGGAGCAGCAACTTCGATCCAGCTCAAGGTTTCAAGGGATGCCAAATTCCACATCACTCACAGGAATGCCAGAACGGTTGGGAAACAGCTGTTGAGTCTAGACCAGCCAGTGTAGACACGAGACAAGACCAGCCAGTGTAGACACGAGACTGAGATGGTCAGTGGTTCGCACTGGATCCAGCAAGAGGCAGGATCGTCCAGATTCTGGTCCTCACTTTCCCCTGCACGTGGGGCATGGCCCAAGCTCTGGGAAGTGCAGCCCATTTGAAGATGTGACTCCCCCAATAGCAATTGCCAAGAGCTGATTTTGGGGCAAAGGAAAGGGTGTTTTAAAAATATACGCATGAGGATCCTCAAATTGCGTTGTTCAATTGTAATATATTTGCAGATGTAAAAAAATTAAGACTCCCTCTGACTATTTTAGCTTGTGTCTTAAGGGGAGTTAATTTAAAGGAGACAACCTGGCAGCCTTATACTTTTTAGAAGGAACGTTAAAGAATGTTTGTTTTATCATACGATTCTGAATAAGTAGGGAAAAATGGATGAATTCAAACTTGCTTTACTCAGCAAAGGGTTAAATTATTACTGGATTACTAGGTAGTCCTTAATTGCACAGGCAGTATAAACAAGTGGTGCTCAAAATTAGGTGTTCAGATTTAGATCCCCCAATGCCCTATCTTATGTTGGATTTGTTATTTTGTGCATTAGCTGACAAATGGTCGTTCTCACGGTGGCCCTGTCAGCCGGCCCATGTCACCATCTTTTCTATATAGTTATGCATGTGCAATAATTTAGCTACTTTGTTGCATTTTTTTGCCCTTGTTTTATAAAAATGAGGGGAACACAGAGAAATTGACAGCACCAAGCAAAGATGTTAGCAGAGCTGAGAGGAGGTAAAAATCGTTAGGTTTGCCGAAAGTGCTGAATCAGTCGTTCACTGGGATTCAGCCAATTGAATGTGTGTTGAATTATGAAGGAAGGTAACATATTGAAGGATCATGTGTGAAGTGCTGGAAATAGATATGGATGTTATATCTACAAGGCAAAGTGTAAGGAAGGATTTCATCATACCTTAGTGCTCCAGCAAGGAAACCCCATACAACACAATCTTTTGCAGATTTTACATAAATACACATTTCCAGAAATTATATGTAAAGATGGGAACCACAGGTTTATAGAGGAGTGAGTGGCAGGGCTTTACAGAAAAGCGCGCTGGACTTCCCTGGTGGTGCAGTGGTTAAGAATCCGCCTACCAATGCAGGGGACACGGGATCAAGCCCTGGTCTGGGAAGGTCCCACATGCCGTGGAGCAACTAAGCCCATGTGCCACAACTACTGAGCCTGTGCTCTAGAGCCCGCGAGCCACAACTACTGAGCCTGGGCTCTAGAGACCACGAGCCACAGCTACTGAGCCCACGTGCCACAACTACTGAAGCCCGCGTGCCTAGAGCCCGTGCTCCAGAGCAAGAGAAGCCACCGCAATGAGAAGCCCGCGCACCTCAAGGAAGAGTAGCCCCCGCTCGCCGCAACTAGAGAAAGCTCGCGCGCAGCAACAAAGACCCAACACGGCCAAAATTTAAAATATAAATAACTAAATAAATTTATTTAAAAAAAAAAGCATGCAGTCTCCAAGTCTGAAGAGTTTTAGGGCAGATTAATAAATGTTATTCAAACCCAAGCAATGCATATTGCCTGTTGCAGTAGCAAAAGGTAGTGTTTTAACAAATTATTGATAAATATTTACTGAGCTCCTATTGTGTGCTAGGCAATGGCGATAGAATGATAAATGGAACAAATGATTTCCTCCTTTAACAGAACTGATGACGACGATGGCGATGATGATGTGGTGTGTGTGTTAGTGCTGATGGCGGGGCTAGAGGCACCTGTTCATCCAGTAAACCCCAGTATAAAACTGCAACTGTGACAAGCGTTACAAAGTACATTCATATACCAGTTCTATAAGAGCCTGAAATGGGAGGTTTTGACTTAATGATATTTGAATTATATGAAGAAGGTTAGATAGGCAAAGGTTCCAGAAACGTCATTCCAGGCAGAGTGAACAGTATGTCCAAAGGCCCTGTAGTGGGATTAACGTGGTGAGTACAAGAGACGGGGTTGCCAAGGGAACAAAGGAAAGGGCACGCTTGGAGCAAGGCAGTCTCAGCACAAGACACTGGGTTGGATGGACTGGATGGATGCAGGTGGACCCGTTACAAAACTTTTGGCAACATCCAGGTGAAAGATGGCACTAGAGTGATAGTGATGGAGATAGAAAGAAGTGATTGGATTTGACAGCGATGGAGGAGGTGGGAGCTTCTGGCCTTGGGGATGGATCGGAGGAGGTGGGTTAGAGAGAGAGAGGTGGATGAGAGGAAGGAGATAACGTCTAGGACTAATAACACAAAAAATAGGAAATCTAGCCCTCACTTCCTTGACATTGGAATGAAATATGATTGGGGCGGGGGAGGTGAAAAACAGTGTATTTAGGAATCATTTTAATTTTTGTTAAAGTCATACCTGCCCATGATTTGAAAAGCCCAATAATACTGTAAGGCTTCTAAGGAAACTCAGCAGGCCTTGCTTCTCTCCTCCCCAGGAATTCAAGTCCTTAGATAAGGCAACCGCTTTCAATTATTTGAACAGTTAGTTTCCGGTATTTTCCTTCGTTTTTCTCTGTAAATGCTTCTGTTCTCACAGAGCTCTCACTCCAGTGGGGAGGGTAAGGAAACACTGAAAGAAAACATCGCTGTCAGCCTCTCATTATATAGAGGCAGTGCTCTATAGGGATGGTTATACGTAATATGGAGAGGAATAAGCACCCGTGGGAGTGATGTGGGCCATGCTGGGAAGAAACACAGTGTTCACTAAGGGAGCGGGGGCAGGGATGACCCAACTGAGAAATGGCATCTGAGCAACGACCCAAAGGGTGGGAAGGAGAGCCCCGTGGATGTGTGGGGAGGTGGCATTCCAGACCAAGCAACAGCAAGTGCAAAGGCCCTGAGGTGGGAGGACAGAGGGTGTAACTGGGAACCAGAGCAGCAGAGGGCTCCTTGCTGCTGGAGCAAGTGAGTGGGGGAGGGCGATGGGGATGAGGTTAGCTTGGTAGGGTGGGGAAGCACGATGGGTAGGGCCTCATGGGCTGCTGTAACAACCTTGACTTCTACTCGGTGATGGGACAGCACCTCTTGTCTTGAGAGGAAACCGTATGCCCACTTTCTGACACAATTTTTGCTTAAGTCAGTGTTCAGTGTTTACACATTATCAGTATCAAATGTTATTCTCTGCATTGTCAGCATCATTTTCTTGGATCCCACATGTAGGTGATGTTACATGATACTTGTCTTTCTCTGTCTGACTCACTTCACTCAGTATGATCATCTCTAGGTCCATCCACGTTGCTGCAAACGGCATTATTTCATTCTTTTTCATGGCTGAGTAATATTCCATTGTATCTATGTACCACATCTTCTTTATCCATTCCTCTGTTGATGGACACTTAGGTTGCTTCCATGTCTTGGCTCTTAGTGTGGCGATGAACATGGGGGCACATGTGTCCTTTCAAGTTAGATAAATTTCCCCCCTTTTGACTGAGTGGCAGAGGGATAGATGTTTGGCTCTGTGGAGGTGGGGAGGAGACCTGGAGGAGCATGTCCAAGGCAACCCTGGCCTGTTCTTGAAGGACTTTGTGGGAGTTACAGCAACACGCCTTCACATCCGGTGGCTGAGTTGGGACTCGGCTTTCGCCCAGGGCACGGTAGAGGCACACCTTGAACACAGAACTCTGGGCCCCAAATCTCACATACTTTCCAGTAGAAAACACTGACGTCTGATATCACGTGGGACTGACTGTAAGGGCAGCAGGAAATCAGGGAAGAGAGAGCTCAGTCGTGTTGGTGTGGCCAGAGGGGCTCATGGGCGGCGCTGAGGCTCGGCTGGGCTGGGAGGGATGGGGGATGGAGGAAAGTGGGATGGGGAGGCAGGAGGCTCCAGTGGGTGGCGGAGGGGAGAGCCAGGCTGTAGCAAGGACTCTTTCATGGAGGAAGCGTACGCCTGATGGATCTGAGGGTCAAGGCTGGCCCTGGGACCCAGCAGGACAGTGCAGGTGTCAGAGAGAAGGGAGCCCAGCTAGTAAATTGTATGAAGCGTCACCTTCCTGGGCCTGGAAGTTGAGCGGATTGCTTGGGCTTAATTTTGGGGGACTGAGAGGCCATTAAAGGTGGGGCGTTGATGACCACGGTGTACAAAGGCAGCTTCTACAGGAGCCGTTCATGGCTCAGCGGTTGCTGATGGGTTGCAGGGACCCTTGGAGGGCCTGTGGGGTGGCAGGTAGGGTTTGGGTAAACCAGAGAGGCCAGGAATGGGGCCAGGCGGGGGACCAGCATGCACAGGAGCTAAGGAAAGAGGCTGGCCGGCCGTCCAAGGCCTCTTGGGGCCACTCTCCTCATGCAGCCCAACCCCCCACCACTAACTCACCTCCTTTTCTTCTGATTCATCCCTGGCAGGAAGGAAGGGAAGAGGCTGGCACAGAGGTCCAAGCCAGGAGACCTACACCTCCACTTCTGATAGTGGCTGGGAAAAGAGGGTCCGGACCCTCAGCTCCTCCAGAAGACGAGACCCCCTCCGGTGGCCTCCCACGAGCCATGACCAGGCTGGAAAAAGCTGGGACCAGACCCACTGGCTAATTTAAAGATGGGGCCCAGGATATGGGGGTGAAGCTGGGGCGGGGAGGTGAGAGCTGGTGGTGTGGATCGAAGAGACCAGGTGTGGAGAGGTCAGGGGTCGAGCGATGTGGGCAAGTGCATGGCTGTGCTGCAGGCCCGTCTAGGAAAAGGGTGGCCACGGAGGACCACCGATAAATACACGCAGAGTCTCGGAGGCCGTGCGCTTCGCTGTGTGCAAACATCAACAGCTAAGTTAAGCAGACACGTCATGTTAAGTCGTGACAAAGGCAGCTATCCAAGGTGCCAGGGCACCCATCCAGCGCCCCAGGTGCCACCCACAGATGGCATCAGAAATGACGCTTGATTACCCTCTGCTGTGGCCCCACCCTGGACAGGGGGCGTCTTCCAAGGGGGCAGGATGTGCCACCCACGGTTGAGGAGCGGCCCGCCTCTCCTATAGACGTGCCTGTGGACACACGTCAAGGCCATATGATGCCATGCGCAGGGCGTCCCAGGACAGCGGAGGCTCCTTTCTAGTGTGTAACCCACCTCCCCAGGGGAAGGAGACAAGTTTCTACTTCCGGGAAATCCCTCCTCCTCACCTCCCTCCCTCCCTCCCTCCAGCATCCTTCCAGGGTGCTCTGGAAGGGGACATTCCCGCTAGTGGCCACTCATCCAAGTATCGTTTCCTCTTGGTGACAAAACGCATGAGGCTGATTTTCTTGCCTTGAATTTACTTTCCTAATTAGGTATTGCTGAGGTTACCGTTTGCTTTAATGCTTGGACCCTCCCAGATCTGTGTGCTGGGCAGGGGGCTTTGTCACCAAACTGCAGAAGCCCCGGCAGCGGGGACCATGTCCTCAGCCAAGTGCCCACCTGATGTCTCTAGCAAAGCACCGGACGTGGACTTGTCACTCACAAAGTGTCCGGTGAATGAGTGAGTGAGGTTGTGATTGAATGAATGTTGGCTCTGGTTAATATATGCCATTAACACACTCGCGTGTAAGTCATCAAGTGCTTACACGTCGTCGCCTATAAGTGAGGGTGGCTGCAAGCATCGCTGCGTCACACACACACACACACACACACACACACACTTCTTCTCTTACCGAAGAAGCCTCGCAACTCTGACATCTCCTGTGAAGGTCTGTTTCCCAAACTGTGTCTGTGATCTGTTTGCTTCTTCATTCAACAAGTGTTCGTTGAGTGCCTGCTGTGGGCCAATGGACAAAACCAAGGACTCAGGCTTTTAAGAAGCTTAGCTTCTGCTGGAGGAGATAGGCAATCGATAGAATAAGTAACTAAAATACACTCTATGCTAGGTGAGTACAAACTCCACCGAGGAACGTCCAGAAAGGGGGCCGTGAAATACAGCAGCGGGTAGGGGAGTGTGGGGACCAGATTAACGCAGGGGAGACAGGGGAAGGCTGACCTAGGAGGGAATGTCTGAGTCAGAGCAGAGGGGGCCAAGGAGTGAGGGCGCCGTTCTAGGTGGAGAAACAGAAAGGGCAAAGGCCCTGAGGTGGGAGCCTCGCTGGCGTGTTCCAGAAACAGCAAGGGGGCCGGTGCGGCTGGAGGGCAGTGAGTCAGCAGGATGCGAGGTCAGGGTTAACTGGGTGCTGAGGGTGGGCTCTGTCCAGCCAGGGCCTTAGAGGCCCTGAAAGGACTGCACTTGTACGTGGAGCTGGAAAGGAAGCCATTCCTGCAGGGTTCTGAGCGGAAGAAGGGACATGTCTGGACTTCAATTCTAACAGAATTTCCAGTTGGGAAGCTGGTGGGATAATCCCGGTGAGAGCGGCTGGTGGGTGGACCAGGCTGTCCAGGGTGGGGTTGGTGAGAAGTGGACAGAGGGAAAGGAAGAAGGTGAGGATGACTCCCAGCTTGCGGGGGAGAAAGGGGAGACCCAGGGGCCGGACCACCCTCTGTGGCTGTGCTGGAGACCCAGCGACCCGCTCCCGGAAGCTGGCCTGCGGGTGACGTCACCCACCAGACTCTGCCCCCAGGCACAGCTTGGCTTTGCCTCCCAGCCCCACTTCCTTCTCTCCAGGAATCCGGGGGTGGATGGCAGTGGGGGGGGGGGGGGGGGTGGGTAGTGTCAGCTGCTGCCGTCCCTGCCGTCTGTCTGTCTCCCTGTCCGCACGTCCAGGACGGGCTGCATCTGCATTTCCATGACTTATTCTGAGCCTCGTGCACCTGGGAAGGTTGGGGACCTGGCTGGCCTTGGCCTTGGCAGTCAAGGTATTGTCACCTCCCGGGCAGTCGCACCAGAGTGGGACGCAGGAGACCAGGATCACCTGAGGCCGAGACAATGGGGGAAGAAAAGCCAGGGTGGGTGGGGCGCTCCAGTAGGAGAACCCGGAATCGGTTTGGGAGAAGAAACATCAGTGGCAGGCTGAGGACACCTCTATCCTGGCCCCTGGAGGGGCCCACGCAGGCCTTGTCCAGAGTGGATGGATGGACAGCAGGAGGCCTGATGTCACAGGCTGCCCTCAGACTGTCCTGCTCTCTGCCATCGGTCTGCCTTTGGGAGGCACCGTTCCAGGAGTGACTCTTGTCTTTGTTTTGAGGTGAGGTAGCAGAAAACGGATTCACCAGGCCACTCGTGGGCGCCATGGGCTGGTGCCAGAGGACGCTGCTGTCTGAGCTCAGTTGCGCTGGCTCGTGGCCGGGGAGCCCGCTGGGCCGCCCGAGGGGAGGTCTCAGGGCCACCCTTCAGCTCACGTGTGGACAGCCACGTGACAACACGGCAGAACGGCAGGAGCTGTGGGCCGAGAGTCTGGAGACCCGGGGCCCAGTCCCGGCTCTGCCACTAAACTCACCGTCTGATGCACGTCGACACTTGGCATGTCTTTATCCCCTGGTCCTCCACCTTGCCTGAGAAATGAAGAAATGGACCCAGTGATCGCCAATGTCTCTTCCCACTTGGATAGACTTTAACTCCATCACTTGGATAACTGAGGGCAAATTGATTTCCAGGCCCCTGATGGAAAACGAGAGCCCTCTCCTCTTGCCTAGGGAGATCTGTAATGATTCAATTCTTATCAAGCGTCAGACGGTCACTGTGCTCTTTGTGGCAGTGCTTGGTGACTGTCAGGCCCCCTCCAGGTGTAGGTGGTATGAGCAATGCTGTGTTTCCTCCTGGGTGAGCAGTAGACTGTGGGCTCATTTGAGACTCAGAGCATCTCAGGGATGGGAGGTCACGTGGAGGAAAACGAGACCCAGAGAAATGAAGGGGGTTTGTCCACGGTGAGGCAGTGAGTGGCTGGAAGAGGCGTCTTGGGTAGGAGGGTAGTGCTCGGGGCCCTTGGGCTTGTTGCTGATTCTGAGGCCTGCAGCCAGAGATCGCCAGTGCTTTTTCCCAAAACAAAACAAAACAACTTCCTCCAAAATCTATAAGAATCTGGGCCACGCTCATCAGCTCCATCCCTTCCCGCAGGTACCTGCTCCCTTTATGGTTCCCCAGCCACCTGCCATTGCCGACAGCGCCACTAGAGGGAGCCACCGCTGCTCCTGTTTCTCCCGCAGGTGGGTTGGGAAACCCTGGGGCTGCCCTGGGAGCCGGGCGCCTTCTGGTTGGAAGGGCTATTCGTCAGCCCTCGGTCACTCCACGGGGTCCCTGCGTGTCCAGCCACATGTGATGTGTGAGTCCGTTCAGGGCTGAGAGTCCGCTGGGGTCTCTACCCAGCAGTCCTGGTGTAGCTGGACGTCCAGTGAATGGAGGATGACCTGCCCCTTGTCCATCCGTGCAGGAGCCCCAGGAGGTGCTACTCAGAGATCCAGGGCAGATGTGGGGGGAGCCGAGGCTTCAAAGGCCCCCAGATCCCTGGCCTGAGAATTCCAGTGGGCAACTTGAGGGGCCCCTGCCAAGGGGTATCCCCAACCTCTTGGAAGATGCAACAGAGCAGCGGGAAGCAGCAGGAAACTGCCCAGGGAACTGCGCTCGGAGGCCTGATATCCAGGGACTTTTGCCCGAGTTGCTGTCAGCGGTGGGAAATTACCCACAGGGGCCAGGGGATGATGTGGCAAAGAGATCAGGTGTCTTTTGGAAAAGTGATTTTCCAGTTCAAATACCACTCGGTCACAGAGATTTTCTGGAATCCCGCCAGGCTAAGAGTCAGGCTGAATTATCCTGAACTCCTACCTGCTATTGGGCTTGGGGTCAGGAGGGGACAGATGGATAGTGACCTTGTGCATAACCACTTATCCTCCAGGGGGTGTCTTCACCTCTGGGCCTCAGTTTCCTCCTCTGTCAAGCAGGGGGTTTATATTTTGATGCTCTCCAAGGCCCCTCCTGCAAGGAAGAGTGGTCTGTCTGGTTTGTCCTCCTGCACTGTGGCTCATCTGTCACCACCTCTCTGCTGTCCGCAGTTTGAAGCATGTGGAAAGTCGTTGCCCTTCCCCACATAAGCAGCTTTTAAAAATACCCGTAAAAATAAAATGAGATTGACCTCTTAGGGCCAGTCAACTCATCAAAATGATTCTGAGCCCTCCGTGCTTAAGTGTCAGCAGTAATTGGTCATTTCACAGCAACAGGCTGGAAAAGCTCAAGGCGGGGCTAAAGTTTACATTTTCTATGTCAACAGTCACTTGCCTGCTGTCTGGCTTCCTTTTTGGTCCTGCTGACTTCTGACGGGCTGGGGCCAGCTCGTCGGGGCTCTGTGATGTTGCGTCACATCTTGGTGACAGGGTCCTCATTACTCTGAATTTCCAAGCACAGCTTAGTCTCTCAAAGATGCTTCAGTGACTAAAACTCCATTCCAAACCTGGTTTTGGTGGAAAAGAAAGTCGATGACGATGGGAGGGGTTGGAGGGGTTTCCTGAGAGGCAAGGAGCAGGGATTCCTTCCAATCAATACATTATTCCAGTCAATACATTATTGATTGCAATAATGAAGATGTGTTTTTCAGTTTTGTTTTTGTCTAGTGCCTTAATAGTCAAGAAAGGCTGTGGACATTAATGGGAGCAGGGTACTGGGGCCTGCATGGTCCAGGGCAGGACTTCTCATCCTTCATTGTGGAGGCAGATCACCTGAAGACCTTGTTAAAATGCAGATTCCTGGGCTCCAACCCCCGGGGATACTGATTCAGTAGGTCTGAGAAGGAGCCCAGGAACGTGCATTTCTATCAAGCTCTGGGTAATACCGAGGCTGCAGGTCAGGACACCAGGCTGTGGGTGGCACTGTCCTAGGGACAATGACATGGCATCTACACCCAGGGCGGTGAGCCCCGTGCAGATACGAACCAGGGATTGTCGAGCTCACAGGGAACGTGGGGAACAGTTCACTGCAGTGGATGCGGACACAGCTAAATCTCCAAGGGACCAGACGGTCCCCCCCCCACCGCACCACTGTTATTCACAAGGCTGTGGTGGTGACTAAACTCTTGGCTAATTACCACGCTGGTGGGAAGCATCCCAGGTTAGTGCTCTGAGGTTCTGGCCACTTCTGGCCACCAGGTGGGGCAGGATGATTTCTTCCCAGGCCCGAGGAGCTGGAAGAGGAAAAGTACTGAGGAGATGGTAGCAGAGCCTTTCAGAAAACGCTGCAATCTCCGAGTGCACCAACACCATCCAGAACTAGGCTTTGGCGGGGAAGGGATGCTGTTGGTTTTTCAAGCTGTTTGCTTTTCTTCCTGTTATCCCAAAGTGCATCCTCGTTCACCCCCTTGTGCAGTAGGTGACCGTGGCTTGAGATGAAAGGGAGATCGCTCTCCCTGTACCGAAGATGGAGCAAGAGGACGAGGGAGAGAAAGGATCTTGTGTGAGGTGCCAGTGAGCAGCGTTGGGCTGCCTGGACCAGCATGTTTCTTGCCAAGGTGGGTTGGGGGGATGCTGGTCTGCCCCGAGGTCTCTGCCGACCCCAAGGTCATGGCCCTGATCAGGCTGTGCTCTTGGGGTGGGGAAGGTGAAGCAGCTTTTTAGGGAAAAAAAGTCAGGCAATCCTCGGACTAAGATGAAATGACCCAGAGGGTATTAGTTGCCCTGCGCTTGCAAAGAAGCACGGTCTGGGAGTTATCGAGCGCCCCCTTTGTGCACTGTTAGCCAGTCTCATCTGGGCATGTACATCTGAGCATCACGCAGACAGCCACGCCGACACAGTGCCTGCTGGCCAGGCGCTGGTCCCCCAGCGTTCCCAGAGCATCCTGCCTCTTCCTTCTTCACGCAGCCTCTTCCCAGCATGCATGAGCTTTGGAAATACCTTCATCTCCCCAAATTATTTGGGAGCGATTTACATTTCCGCCTCTGAGACTCCCCTTTTCCCTTTCTTGGCGTGAAAACACCTAGTAGTTTTGGAGAAAAGGTATGGGTCCAGAAAACAGTGGTACATGGGTGGGCTGCGTGTGTATCTTGAGCCCTAATTCATTGGAGGTGTCTGTGCGTGTGAGTGTGCCCTTGGTGTGCAGGCGGGGGTAGAGCCTCCAGGGCACAGTATGGTAAGAAAACAGCAGCTGTAACACTTTATTTGGGAACATGGTGCGTATTTGCTGGAAGCACCCACACCTCTCCTAGGGGGTCCTCCCCCTTGCCCCCAGCAGTCCTCTGCTTAGCTTGTTACATTTGTCCGTCCCTGTGACCAACACATGCAGATCACTTGTTCAGAGAGAGCCCCTGTTACAGCTAAATGGGGGGACCGGAAGCCTCTCATCTCGCGCTGTGGCCTGAAATCTTCCCCAGCTCGCTGTGATAGCATTTCGGCCTGAGCAGATTCCCTCTTTTAACAGATATAAACAAAGAGATTTCAAGCTCCCACCTCAACCCACCCCTGAAAGCATCTTTAAGAGTGAGCAGAGGTGCATCCCCACACTGTCCCCTCACTCCTTAGACAGCTCTCTTTACTGTCAGCCACCCAGACGATCTTAAGCGAAAGACCATGGGGGTTCCCCTTTCCCTGCACTGACATCTGGATATAAATTCTGACTTTCCTAGACACAATTTCCCAGAGGGCTTCTTTGTCCCTTGTTGACTGCAAACGATTTTGCTCTACAAGACGGAGCATCGGCGTCACCCCTACTGCAGCTGTTCGGATGGCAGGAGCTCTCAGCCTCGGATCCTAAGGCGACCTATAGCTGCCCCTGAACGTGTTATCTTTGGGGACTCTGCAGGGCCTGCCCGCAGGTCCCCTCTGCCACCTGCCCAGCTCCACGGGGGCTCCCTGCTGCTGCCTCCAGTTCAGCCTGGCTGCTGGGACCAAGAACGGGTCCAACGGCCAGCAGTCAGGGAGCGGCGAGCGACGTTCTCCGAAGATTGAGTTTCTGATGGCTGTCCTTGAAAGCCCCCAGCCCCCCTCCCCTCGCTCGGTGCCGTCCCCAGTGCTGTAACTGACCCGGAACACCAGAGGCAGGAAAGTCACTGCTCCAGTTGAATTTTGCTGCAGTTTTTTTTTTTTCCTCCCTTAGATGCTGAGAGCTATTTTTAGCCACAGATTTTTTTTTTTTTTTTGCAGGGGATCCACAGTCTATTTATAAAGCCCTTACGGAGGCCATATCGTCCAGTGACTCCCAAAGGGATTTTGGAGTTAGGTGGGAGAGGCCAGGGCAGTGGGTGGGTGGGGGGGAACTTCCTGAAGGCAAGAGGGCTGTCCTAGGGAGGGCTGGCAGAGGCTGGACCCCAGCCGGGGGCGGGGGCCCGTCCACGCAGACCCACCCTGCTCTTCCCTCCAAAATCGCTCAGCTTCAGGGACAGGGCTGCGGGCTCTGGCGGCCCAGCAGCTGCGATGACAGTGCCTTCAAATGTGGCCGCTGGTTTAATTTACTGCATTTTCCTCTCCTCTCCCTGAATTTCTACACGCACGTCTGTCCCCATCGCCCCCTTCCATGGTCCCACCTGGCAAAAGTGAGCTGGGCTGTGGAAGGCTTTGGACAATGGATCGGGCAGGAAGCCGGCCCTGGGTGAGGAGAGGTGCCAGGGGTGCCCCAGGTGGTGGCCGGGGGTGGAGAAGCAGCTGGGCAAGGATCTGGTGGCCTCAGGCTCCACTGGAGGGGCAGAAGGTGGAGGAAACGTGGACCCAGGGCAGGGTTGCTTCTAGGAAAGCCCAAGTTCTGTTCAGAGCCGCCTGGACAGAGGCGTTAATGGGCAGAGGTGCAGTGGCGTCTGGAAGACCCTGCCCTCCCACGCCCATTCCAGGCACTTAACCTCTCCTGACAAGGCCTGTGGGGCTGGATGGATGGAGCAGGTGGGGAGAGGAGACGGGATGGAAAATTCCAGACAGAGTTGGTGAAAGTGTTCCCCAGCTGGACTGAAGCCTCCTTTCTCTCTGCTCTGCATTTAGAGAAGGACGGAGGACGGCCTCGTAAGAGGTCCTGAGCCTTCCCCGCCCCTCTTTTCTCTCTCCTCCTGGAACTGAGTCCACGGGCTGCTCTGGAAACGACTGGGGTGCTTGGTGCCCCCTCATCCAAGAGGTGAGAAGGAGGAGACAGGGAAGGCGGCGGGGGGGTGTCCTTGCTTCCACCTGGTTAGCAGACGATTGCACGGCCGGTCGGCCAAGAGCGGCTAGGGAGGCTGCTGTGGGTCCACCTGGGGTTGGCAGGACCCCCGGCTAAGGCAGCCCTCCTTGGGCTCTGCCAGTACTGCGGACCATCCAGGTCAGCCGGGCGTCCCTGCCTCAGGAGGGCAAGGGACTGCGTGCCCCTAAATAGACCCCACACTCCGTCACCTCCCCACTACGACCTGCCCAGAGTCAGGCCAGCCTCGCCTGTTCCGTCAGGCTCCACCTGAGCCCCGGGACCCCCTTTTCCTGGATTCTCCCCTCCATCACTCTGACTTCATCGGTGGGTCTCCCCTGCCCCTCCCTGTAAGACTGCCATCCTCTCCCCGCACTCGAGTGCCCCTCTTCGCTGAGCTTCTAGTTCCTCACCATCTGACACGTCATGCATCTTCCCATCTCTTGCTCATTATCTGACTCCTTTAACATAAGTTCCATTAGGACAGGGATTTCCTTTCCTCTGTTCACAACAAATCCCTCAATGCCTAGAGCAGCACTGAATGTACATCTGACGAACAAATTAATAAAAGAAGCAAAACGTGCCATGGTAGAGGCATCCCTGGGGAGGCTTTCTTTTTGGCCCCCACCAGCAGAGCATTCAGGGAGGTGACAAATTAGGGACACCTCCCCTCCCAACACACACAGAGGAGATCAGTTTTGGCCCCAGAATGACAATCTATTCAGAAGCTTAGCAGGAAGGGGCTGAAGAGATCATCAGACCTAAGCCCCACATTTGTGCGGAAGAGGGAGCTGAAGCCCAGAGAGGTGAGGTAACCTGCCCAGCATCACACAGCCCGTGAGTCACAGAGAGCAGAACCTGGGCACTCTGTTCCCAGGCTAGAATTGCAGAGACAGCCATCAGCTGTCTCTGCCTCAAAATGTGGAGAAAGCATTATATTCCTTCCCAGGCCCAGGAGCAACGGCCTTCCCAACCCCGCGAGGTAGGATTGCCCTCAGACTCGGGGTGGACAGATCAGCAAATCAGCATCCCAGGCTCCGGGCCAGCTGGAGGGCTCTGGGAGTCTGCCCACGAAGATATCTTCTCTCAGCAGGACCCAGACCAGGAGCAGTAAAGAACCCACATCAGCAAAGAGAGAGACACTGCATTTCCAGGAGGCGATTGAGGGCTGCGTCCCCTTCTTCCCAGTGAAGCCAAAGTCCTCACCAAGGGTCTTTGTGCGGGGCGGGGGGACTGATCTACATGATTTCATCACACTTGGGGTGGCCTGTGTGTCTGTCAAGGGGCAGCTGTGGGGACGAGGCAATAAAGGACCCTGGTTCTGGGGACAGCAGTCCATCAGCCAGTGCATCAGTAGCACCAACTTCCAACCGCACTGAACACCCGTTACCCTGGAGAAACAGGGAAAAGGGGAGTGTTCCATGCAGAGGGGCAGCAGTGCTGGTGCACTGCAGTGAGCTGAGCGCAGTCGCATGTCAGGTGCAGCGTGTGGGGCTGGGGACAGTTGCTGGGACCCATCTGCGGGACTGCCAGACGCTGAACAAAAGCTATGAACTCAGACACCACTATCAGGTACCTAGTGATCCCTGTGAACCAGATCCAAGCCCTTGACGTGGGTCCCTGAATCCTTGGGACAGCCCTATGGGATGGGTGTTAGTATTTATCCTCACTTAGAGAAGAGAGAACAGAGGCACAGAGGAGTTTAAGTCCCCAGCATCTCACAATTGATAAGCGGGGAGGGGCTGGAGTCCAGCCCTGACAATCTGGGTCCTGGACCCTCGTGCCAGTCTTCTTCTCTCTGGTGATGATGGAGGTGGTGGAGATGCAGCTAACACTTAGGGAGCACTTGCCATGTGCCGACCCCACCCTTTTGGAGATTTTCCTGGTCCAAAGACATTCCAACTGAGGACAGAAGAGCACAGAAGAACGCATGGGCAGAGCCTGAGTGCAGCCCAAGATGCTGCCTGTGGGAATAACAGTGGTGATGTTGATGATCTGAGGTTAATAAAAGCAACGACGTTGATGGTGGTGATGGTGAGGATGGTGATGATGGTGATGGGGGTGATGGTGGTGATGGTGATGTCAGCTAGTGTTTATTGAATGCTAACTCCGTATCTGTCACTGAGCTAAGCTCTTGATGTGCGAGAGCTCATTTCATCTTCTCAGCAATCCCATGAGACAGGTATTACTATGTTCCCACTTTGAAGATAAGGAAACTAAGGCTCAGAGCGGTTACGTAACTTGCTTGAGGTCACATAGCAGGGAAGTGGTAGAACTGAGTCTCTCATGCAGGAAGCCTGTCTCAAGAGCCAGCCTTGAAGCAATGCCTCTATCAGATTTTTAGTCCCTGGCCGCCCCTCATTCATTCCAGATCTTGAATCCGGATAATGGGCTCAACTCTCTCCCCCAAAGTGAAGGTGCTCCTACCCAAGAAAAGGGGCAGAGGGAGCTGTCCACCTGGCATGTCTGAAAAGTGGTCAGAATTGGTGACTGGGGCGTAGAGAGGAGGGGAAGGTTGGGTGGGAGGAGAGGAAACTCGAAAGGTAGATTGGATAAGAGAATGAAGGAGATTTTACTTGATAATAACCGGGAAGCAATAGAGAGTCATCAAAGGTTTCTGAGCAGAGAAATAGCAAGATCACATTTGTATTTAGGAAGGCACCTGCAGTGATTCAGGTCTGGATGGAGCCATCCTCTCCGTATTCCTTCAAACCGTGCCAGCAGGAAGAAAGCCCTCTCTTGCACCCATGGATGAGGCTGTGCCTGCCCGTGAGGTGGGAGGTGAGGCGACTTGCTCTGTTTTGCAGAAGCAGCAGCTCAGCTCACAGGTTGCATGCTGCTTTGGCTTCTCTTGGTGCTCAGAGGGGATGTTCCTGTGCAGCCAGAGGGCGTGGGTAAATGTTAAACAACCAGCCCTCTAGGGATAAAACGCCCAGGTTTGGAGCATTTGCGAATTTCATTAGCATAAATACCCCCACTATGGCCGATCTCAAGCAACTGAATTGTTATAAACGGGGTTGCAGAATTCCTGAAAAATTTAACAATTGGTTCTAGCAAGCCAGTGGGAGTGGGGTCCACAACTCTGCATGCACCCCTGTGTCCTCCCCCGCAGACACTGGTCACCCTGAGCCAGCACTGATAAGAGAGGCAGAGTAAGTTGCCCAGGCCACGGATGATCCACTTGGAGACCCAGGGATTGAATGAGGGGTGGAAACTGGCATCTTGTCTTCTGGGCCACACGTTTGGACAGGCTCTGTTTAGGAGGACAAAGCCTGATCTCTGCCTGGATCCCCTTCAGAAGGGATTTTATATTCAGTGGTAGCAAAATTTCTCTCTGGCTTCTAAGGCTTATGGGTCACACCCTCCTGCCAGAACTGGAAAAATAATGCCAGGGAGTATTTTTGGTTTTTTTTTGTTTTTTTCTGTGGTACGCGGGCCTCTCACTGTTGTGGCCTCTCCTGTTGCGGAGCACAGGCTCCGGACGCGCAGGCTCAGCGGCCATGGCTCACGGGCCTAGCCGCTCCGCGGCATGTGGGATCTTCCCGGACCGGGGCACGAACCCGTGTCCCCTGCATTGGCAGGCGGACTCTCAACCACTGCGCCACCAGGGAAGCCCCAGGGAGTATTTTTAATTGTGAGTACAAATCCCCTGCAGTGATGGATGAATTTGAATGCCTCAAATCCTGTGCGTATGCTAGAAGATTATATGTCATTTTTCAATTGCCAGAGTACTTCTATTGCCCTGGTATTCATTTGATCATTCATTCATCTGACATAAACTGAGAGCCCAGGCATGGAGATTATGGGCAACAGAAGAGAAGGACCACCAGTTAGGTGCTGACAATAAGTCAGAGGTGAGAGCAGGCAATAGACCACAAATCCTGACACGCAAGGTGAAAGTTAAAAAGTAAGCAGTGGATGGGGTTCAGGGTTATACAAGCCAAAATATGCCACTGCCTTTCATTGATCATTATGAATAAAAGTTACTTCAGAAAGAGCAAGTGCAAGAAAAACACTTGGACCCTCTTTTGTCCCCCTGAAAGCAGGAAATAAATCTCCCATGTGAAATTACCCTCCCTGTCCCGGGAGGGTAAAAGGCATCCCAGAGACAGGAAATTCAGGACTGAGAAGGCTGTGTAGACAGATCTTGGTATGTCTTCCCTAATTTGCTACCTCAAGCCCAAACCCCTTTGTTTTGTCAGTTCTTCACAAACTTATTGCTTCTTTGTCTAAAAGAGTATAAAAGCCACCTGCTTTGGTCATGTCAGGGAGTCTCATATTTCACGGGGCAAGTTTTCCTTCCCTATGCAGTCACTGGAGTTTTGAGAATCAACAGGTGAGACGCTCAGGACCAGCAGGTAGGAGGGGACACTCAGGACCAGTGAGCAGAGAATATTGCTCACAACAGACCTGCCCTTGAGACCGCAGACTGACCCAGCCCTTGAGTTCTTACCCATTTCCTGTTGGGATAAGAGGCAATGCCAGGGAGGGGACAGGGGACATTATAGAGAGGTCCTGGGATACATCAGACATGTGTGAGTTTTTCACATATATTTTCTTTCTTTCTTTCTTTTATTGAAGTATAATTGATTTACAATGTTGTGTTAGCTTCAGGTGTACAACGAAGTGATTCAGTTACATACATACGTATATATATATTTATATTTCTTTTTCAGGTTCTTCTCCATTACAGGTTATTGCAAGATATTGAATATAGTTCCCTGTGCTATACCGTAGGACCTTGTTGTTTATTTTACATATAATAGTATCTGTTAATCCCAACCCCCGTAATTTTTCCCTTTCCCCTTTCCCCTTTGGTAACCATAAGTTTGTTTTCTATGTCAGTGAGTCTATTCCTGTTTTGTAAATAAGTTCATGGGTGTCATTCTTTTAGATTCTACATATAAGTGATATCATATGGTATTTGTCTTTCTCTGTTTGGCTTACTTCACTTAGTATGAGAATCGCTAGGTCCATCCATGTTGCTGCAAATGGCATTATTTCATTCTTTTTAATGGCTGAGTAATATTCCATTGCATATATGTACCACACCTTCTTTATCCATTCCTCTGCTGATGTCTATGTCTTTGCTATCATAAATAGTGCTGCTATGAACATTGGGGATGCATGTATCTTTTCAAATTAGAGTTTCCTCCGGATATATGCCCAGGAGCGGGATTGCAGGATCATATGGTAACTCTACTTTACCATACCCATACCATGTCCTTCTGTCACATGTATTTTCTGAAGTCCTAGTGGCAAGGAGAGAACCATGTGAGATCAGTGGTATTATTTTATTATTTGTTTGAGGAAAGGGAGGCTCAGAGACATTAATGACTTGCCTGTGGTCACACAGCTGGCAAGAGGCAGAACCAAGGAGTATAAGAGAGTAGCAGCTGAATACAGATTCAGAAAAATTGGCAGGCAGGTGGAATTTATAGAAACGGAATCAGTTGGGTGTCTCCCTGCATTGGGGGGCCCCGTGGCTGCTGATGGCCTGCAAGGCTGGGGACAGGGCTGGCAGAGAAGTGGGAGGGATAATTCTGTTCTCCCAGGCCCTAGGGGCAAGGTGTCCACTGCTCGGTCCACGTGTCCTCCTGGAAGAGGCTCTGGTGTTTACACAAGGGCACATTTCTGGCGAATGAGGAGGGCCAAGCTGTAAATGGAGCTCCCATCCCCAGCTCGCCAGATGCCCGGGAGCGAGGCACACGCTGACGCTGATGGAGAACAGGGACTTCTTGTTTACCAGGCTCGCCATCTGGACGGCCGGTATCGTCCAAGGAAATCGCTGTAACAAGGGCTCTGAGGCCTCTTATGAAATGGCTCCATGGGCCTTTATTTACATTCTGCTCATCCAAATGACTCAGGCCCCCAAACGGGAGATTCTTAGGACCTGAGTTCCAGGCATTTACGAGGCTTGGAGGCTTTATTGGCTCTGAGTTGGTTGGCATTTTGTAGGATATGAGGTCTGAGACTGGGGAGTTTAAGGCAGCAGGCCACTACAGACATTTCCTTTCTCCAGGGCCTTCTGACCTAACAGGGATTTCCTAACACTTCTACCAAACTCTACATAGAGAAGTTCATAGATGTGAAGGGAAAGTACCTCCTACTATTTCTTCATTTCATGTGTAAGATGACCACCAATCTTGGTTTTCCCAGGACGGCCATGTCTACACCCAGTGTCCAGGCTTACTAATAGTGTCTGCTTTTGCTCTCAGAAAGCTCCCAGTTTGGACAAAAGTCACGTGCTCATCTTTCTTAGAGGAGACAGAGCACCTGGGCTTTGTCCTGTTGCTGATCAGATGTGTCTCTGTCAACCAGCCCTACGGCTCCATGTGATGCAGGAGTTGGGCCCATGTCATGAGTCCCCTAGTCATTGTCTTTGTTCAGTTTATTAACCCTGCGATTTCCAGGCTCTGTAGGATCCTGATCTCCTTTCTTTAGAGGCCCCAGAGGCATGGGCCTGTGCTGAAGCAGTATTCAATAAGGAGACAGGAAAAAAGTCAACACCCTGATGAGGTTAATAGAGCGTGGATCGTACATTCCAGTTTATGGATGTTCAGTTTGGGACCATAAAGACAAGGGACACTTCCAAGTCCACGTGGAACCCAAACTCTAGTTCTAACCTGGGCATCCTGATTCTGGGTCACTCTTCTTTCCTCTGTGCCAGCTATGAGGTCTCAGGTGCCCCTTACCTAACGGGAGGTCCAGCTAGTCCACACCAAGAAAAATTCTACAGAAGGACCCCAAATCAAACTAACAACCAAACAAGGATCTATGCCATGGTTAATTGATATATATCAGCTTCCTGAATGTCCTTTCTGAGTGAGTCCTTGTCATCAGCAAAAAAGGTTTGTTTGCAGGGAGTAATATATCCAGGCCCTCTGAGCCGATTTTGTTCCTGGCTCTGAAAGCAACCACTCAGCAAAAGGCCCACAGAACACTTCTCTGAAGGTGAGGAATGACACCTGTGTTGAATGAAGGAAGCATAAGGTGTGAACTGTTCGTTAGCTACATCAAATAGAGTCTGGGGTCGGTACCGTTTGTTGGGAGGAGGGTGACAAGCAGTAGCGTGTGATCTGATAGCAACTCATGTTGACCCCAAACCCACAGGTTAACCAAATGGAACCCTCCAAATCAGGCACCTGTCTTGGTTATGGTTTTCCGTTTATTATGGTTGAGTCATCCGTAAGCTTGATTTGGAAATGCAGATGTGAGCTTTGAATTTATTAGGCTATGCTTACAGCAGCAGGGACCTTCCTGAGTTCCTAGGAAACAAACAAAAGGGATGAACCGGAGAAGGAAAGGACAATCTAGCTCCTGGGGTGACTTTGGCCACCACACACGAGCTGTACATGGACTCCCTGGGCTGGTAGGAGTCTGCAGAGTTCATGCTATTTACTCCCCATCTCGAGATGCAAACCAGGGGCTCTCACTTGCTCTCATGACCGTCCAAACTTCCCTTAAAGACTTCTTATTTCCATCTGGATATTTGGATATGTGTGTCATGTAGACACATTAGCATTCCAGAACCGAAGACTGCAAAAGACCTTGGAGGAGGAGAATGAGCCAGAAAAAGAACAGCCTGATGTGATGGGAAGAATACGAAAACCTAACGACAGACCAAGGTTGAAAATGAAGGACTGGCAAAATACATACCAAGAAGATGATAGCTCAGAGAAAGCCAGGGTGGCCATACGAATGGCAGCCAAAGAAGACCCAAGAGAAAGAGAGTTTTGGAGATAACGATCACTCTTCAATTACTAGGGAATAATTCATGAGGAATATAAAATAACTCTAGGCTGAATTACACCTAGCAGTTCCCATTCAAACTATATAATGCAACCATTGCCAGAATTATAAGGAGGGATGGGCAAATACATTTAGAGTGGGAGGTTTTAACATCTTTCTGAAAACTAATAGATCGAACAGGTAAAAAAAATAATAGGGTGTGGAAAACTTAAGCAACATGGTTAACAACTTTTGCCAAATGTCCTCATCTAGACTGTTCACCCTTAATTAGAGAGTTCACAGTCTTTTCAATCGAACATGAAACAGTGGCCAACTTTACTATTATTTTCATGTTTATTTACATTTATTGACTTTTAACTTACTACTTGCCTTATCTTAAGCAATACCGACCGTGAGCTATGAAGTTTGAGGTAGTAGTTATTATATTTCTTTGAAAGACACATTTTATTAAGTACATAAGTAGTGCTCATTTTTAAAAGTCCATATTTGAAAGTATCCCCAGAATCTCCTTGTATGCCACTAGTGATGTATATTAGAAATAAAGAATGCTGAAATTAATGAAGTAAGAGTCTAACTCAAGAATTTATGAAAAAGCAATGGGGTAATCTAATGGAAATAGAAAAAAAAAGAGGAAATAATAAAGAAAATAGTAAAATTA